TTATATCTGTAAAATTGTCTAAGAATAATTTTACTTATGACAAACTGAGAGGAGCATGAAAAGAAAAGAAACAGTTCTAAAGTCCTTCATGTTTAATTGCTGAGGAAAAATTAATGTCATTTTCCATGTATATTTTATGCTTACATCACACTGACAAACTTCAGTGAACACACAGCTCCATATCACCATAAAATGAAATAGATTCTGAACCCTAGATAAAATTTCAATGATAAATTCATCTAATATTTTGCCAAATATTCAGTACATGTCAGAGTGTATGAACACATCTCTGGATTTCCAAGGCATAGTACAAAAAGGAAGGACTATTCCATTAAGAACTGACTATAGATGGTTAGATCTGTTCATTGATTTGTTCACTTTCCAATTTATTGATCAAAATTTTATTAAGAATTCCCTACATCAGGCACGGGTATAAAAACGTAAGGATGGAGCAAATGAGCAAAATGAGAAAAGGCTCAATTTCTGGAGCTTAAAATTGAGAAAATATAAAGGAAGATAGATTTTAAAAATAAATTATAATAATAAAGGTTGTTTTCAGGATAATAAAAGCCTAGGAATAACCTTGGTATTTCAAAGTTACTTGGCAAAGATTAGGATAAAATTGTTCTGAAAGTGATGTCCTCAAAATTTTAATTCTATTATAAGGTAGAAACAAATTTCCAGCATTATTTTATGAAAAAAGCAAAAATAAAGATATGAAATTTATTATGAGCAAAAATTAGTTACATGTGAAGGTCTAAAAAGTCATTTGGTTTTAGCACGATGATTAATTTGGAAGTAGGAGAAGAGATGAAGGGAGATAGTAAGGCACAGGTTCCTGACACCAATTAGTGACCAGGAAAGGTGTTAAATAAGTAGAATGCAACATAATGGTCAGTGTTTAAAGTAAAATTTGGCATTGGCTTTAGAATATAACTACTTAAAATACATATGATTGAACAGATACTAAATAAAGTCTGTAGAAAAGAGCTTGGATAGAGACCACAAAGCCATCAGTGTAGAGTTATAGGCATTCTCGTATTTTGGGGTCAAATTCTAACCCAGTGAAATAACACATAATGAAGAGGGGCAGCTTTTAAGATTAGAGGAAAACAACAAATATGCTGTGAAAGACTCCATAAAATTAGAGTATAGTTTTGAGAGGAGAAGAAAGCAAGAGATAAACTGAGCTGATTCTTGCTGTTAGTTGCACAAATGAAGATAGAAACATTGTCTATGTAATTCCTTGGCCTTTCCTTAAATTTTTCACCTCAATAGTTTTGAAAGTACATATTCTTTGCTTCATTAGGTATCCTAAAATGTATGCTTGTTTGTAGTTCTTCAGTGAGGGGATTGGATTACAAAATAAAGAAATATCACTGAACGGGTATTCCTATTAGTGTTTGATATCATGAAGCATTTAATATTAATTTGTCAGTATTTATTCTACTATTTTTGATCATTTGGTGTTGCCCAGATTTATCATTGAAGTAGTACTTTTTTGAATTTTGAAGAGTTTGAGAATAGGTGTTTTGGTGCTCAGCAAATTTTTTTTCTGTTAATTTAAAATTCATGCATGATTCTTCTCTGCATAATTCCTAATATATTTATATATTTGAATATTACTATAGAATGCTTTTGTTTCCATCTATTTCTATATGTATTCATTTTTTATATTGGTAGGAACTCATAGTTTACAACTATTGAAAATGCTAAAATCCTTATGACAATTATTCACAAGCACCTATTATCCCACATTTATTCAGCAAAATTTCTGCTGGCTTTTTCGAGGGTGATCTAATTTTCTTGCATTCCTGCTCTCTGAGTAGTGTTCTGAGTTCATTTCGCACTTTCCATATCTGAGCCCTATGCCTTGTGACACTGAGAATGTCTTGATGCGAGATAAATAATACTTTTCACATTTGGATTTCAAAGCTGTTCACTTAGGCTGTGTTTGAGAACTGCACACAATATTACATTTTAGTAACGTTTATGAGTCACAAATTATGAAGGAAATACAGTTTTTTCACTCTTTTCATTAGATTTCATTAAAACTATATTTGGTTAACATTGGCTGAATGGACATTTGGATGGAAAACAGATTTGCTAAATTTTCAGAGTAAAAGTTCAGAACAATGTTGTTGTCTTTACTATCTGTTCAAGCTCTACCTTTTAATAATGTGTCTTTCAAAAGAAGACATAGACAGTTCAGGATAATAATTTATTTAAGTTATATGTTACCAAAATACCCACAAAAGCATAAGTACAATTTGGCATTTTGAATGAATAAAAATTCTTTTATCTTTTTGTATCAAGATCTTGTTTTAGTATTTGAACATTTATCAAGGTGGATTGAGCCACTAAACATCCCATGAGCATTTCTCTATAAATAGCAAGATCAAGCCACATTGACACACCCAATATTTGGAATACATATTTAAAATATCTGCAAGGAAAGACCATAATTATGGGAGGTCCAGGACAAAAATATTGTGGTTCAGAGAATGTCAACTGAAAATATTCACATTAAACCCTGTTTGCCTCACACCCAGTTTTAAAGTTTTGAGGCGAAGATCTCATATGAAGGTTCGTTATGCATGTATGACTCTACAGTCTTGCAAAAGTACATGATTACTGGTTCAGGCATGCCTGTTTAATGCTGTAAGATGTTGCCCTCTAGTACTTTAACAACATACTTATATTAGTCATAAAATTAATAAATGACGTGAGCACGTGTTATGAGTCCCTCACAAACCAGAGTATAAAAGGCCCATGGAAGGGAGGATTGTTCAGACTCAAATCACTTGAACTCCTCCTCCACCAAAGGACAACCTCAACAACCAACACCATGTGTGGCAGCTACTACGGAAGCTACTATGGCGGCCGCGGCTATGGATGCTGTGGCTACAGAGGCCTGGGCTATGGCTACGGAGGCCTGGGCTATGGCTACGGAGGCCTGGGCTGCGGCTACGGCTCCTGCTATGGCTCTGGCTTCCGCAACCTGGGCTGCGGCTATGGCTGTGGCTATGGCTATGGCTCCCGCTCTCTGTGTGGCTGTGGCTATGGATACGGCTCTGGCTATGGCTCTGGCTTTGGCTACTACTACTGAGGACTCCATCAGAGACGCTCACCATCTGTAGCTGTGGCATCAAGATTTGCCAGTTCTGAACCTGCATGGCTGAGCTTCTCACTCGAGTAATGGTGCTTCTCCAACAGAAATTTCCTGTGAGCTGTTGCGACCCATGTGGAACCTATGAAGTTCTTGAGTTTTCTTCGTGAGTTAGGTGAAGATAAAATTCACCTGACACTTCTGCTCCCATTAGGATGATGGTGTCAGAGCAGCTACCTTGCTAAATTTCCTGCTAAAACTTGTTTTCCTGTTCACCTAATAAAATTCTTTAATGAAAAAATAATTAGTTTTTATTTTAGTCATTTGACATCCAAAATTTCTTACTGACAGTTTTTGGTCTGTTTCCATGAAAGGCAATGACTGAAATTAGGGAAATACCTTAATGCTGAAGAGGCTGCTTTCAATGCCTAATCACTGGGTTTAGTCTCCAGATATTTATATGTGGAAATATTATAATTATTGAATGATTGCTGTCTTAGTTACTCATCTTTCCTTGCTGGGACAAATACCCAACACTCAAAATGAGGGAAAGAAAGGTTTATTTAGCTCACAGTTACTGGAGGTTTTAAGACACTGGAGGAGAGGCTGAGGTGCTTCTGTGTCCAGGATGACCCTCTCCACATCTCTGAGAAAGCACAGGCTGGTCAGTTTACCAGTTTGCACCTCTCTGGCTCTGTCCCTCTGGCCCCACCTGGTCCTTTGGCTCCGCCCCTCAAGCCACTTGTTGCTCCTCCAGCCTTGTCTTCCCCATAACTTACATGAGGCTTTCGGGGGACAACTAGACACAAACCATAACAATTGCTTTATTTCCCAGGATTATATTTTCTCTTAATATTTCTGGGTGAATCCAAGCTTCTTCAGTGAATCCAAGGTGTTTTTCTTATAAAAATAACATAGCTTCTGTAAATCTGAGCTTCCACACTGGCTATGAGAAAATAACATGTCATGCTGAATAAGCTACAAGTAAGAGCAACTTAATCTATCAATAGGTTAAGAATCATATGGCCGGGCTGGAGAGATGGCTCAGTGGTCTAAAGCACCTACTTAGAACAAGTTCAGCAAAACACAGGGACCACGGTTCGATCCCCCAGCACCACATGCCAGCCAGCCCGCCCCCTGGTGGGCTGAGCTGGCCACACACACACACACACCCCTCTC